AGAGAAGAGGGGGAGAGAGACCAGGACAGAGGGACAGAGAGACACAAGTATAGAGATCCGAGGATGGGAGGATAGCAGGGGGGACAGCATTGGGGGGGGGGGGGAGAAAGAGGGAGAGAGGGAACGAGTGAGAATGGGGTAGATGGAATCCAAGCCCACAGACCCAAGGGCAGACGGAGAAGGAAATATCAAGGCGTGAGGGTGTGAGGGCCAGAGGAACCCAGAAAGGGAGGAAGTGGACAGAATCAGAGATGAGGGTGGAGGGGCAGAGGGAGGGGGGGGGGGGTTGAGAACCCAGGAGACAAACCCCCAGAGAGAGGAACAAAGACCCCCCCGATATGAAAAAAAGAAAAAAGAGGAAGACGGAGATGGGGGTGGGGGGAGGCGGGAATCCCAGACAGGGGAGGGTGAGGATGGGAGAGGCAGAGGGGGTAGGGGGTAGGGAGAGGAAAAGAGAGAGAATGATTGAAGGCCCTCCCCCCCCAAAAAAAATGGGGTGCGATAGAGATCCAGAGAGAGGAGGAGAACCAGGAGGGAGGGCAGAGACCCCGAGAACACAGGCCACGGAGGAGCGGGGGCAGGGGACAGAGACCCGGAGACAAACCCTCAGAGGGAGGCACGTGGACCCGATATGAAGACAGAGACTCAGAAAGAGTGGAGGAGGGAAGTCAGAGAGAGACGGCCGGAGACCCAGAGTGTGTGTGAGTGAGTGGGGGGAAGAAGGACAGAGAGAGAGAGAGAGAGAGAGAGAGAGAGAGAGAGAGAGAGAGAACAGAGATGAAAGGGGTAGACGGAGATACCGAAGACACAGGAAAGGGAGAGACACAGAAGCCCCATCGTGTGCAGATGGAGGCAGCGGGTGAGACAGAAACCCAGAGAGAGAGAGAGAGAGACAGTCAGAGAGACATGGAGGCAGGGGCCAGGAGCAGAGGCAGGCGGACACCTGTGAAAAGCTGCTCTAGGCTACACGCTCGCTCCCGCCTTAACTCCGGAAGAGGGGGCGAGGCTACAGAGCGTCGTTGACTGGCCCAAGATCCCACGGGAGGACACCTGGTGGCTTAGGCTCACCTGGGCCCCTGGCTGTGGAGAGGCAGGCCCTATCTCCAGCCCGGGGAGTGGGGGCGGCAGAGGCGGGTGGGACAGGGGCCATGCTTGAACGGGGGGAGGGGGGTTGGCAGTGGGCAGTCAATTATTGTCCTAACAAACCGCTGTGTTATATAAACGGTTTCCAGCAGGTGGAAACAGAGTTGAGGGGTGGGAGCCCCCTTTCTAATAGCTATGCACAGCGGCTGCGTGGGCAGCCCCGGAGGGCGGCAGCGGGGCGCCTGGCGTGCGAGTGGGGACCATCTGGGAGTCGGGGCTCTCACCCCCTTGCAGATGGCCACAGCTTCCCGGGAGAGCGACTTGGGGTAGGTGACGGTTTGTTCCATGATGGCCTGGAACAGCTCCTCCTCGTCCTCGCCGTCAAAGGGGGGCTGAGGAGGGAAGCAGAGGGGGTAGCAGGTCAGAGACTGACGGACGATCTCTCCCCGGCCTCCACGCCTTCATCCCCCACCAGGAACACATCTCCGCCCCTCCCCTCCTCACTTTCTAGGGGAAAATGTGCGCAAACCACCAAAGCTCTATCTCCCCCGCCCTCCCCCCAATGCTTCGATTTCCTATCTCGGATGCTCTCGGCACCTCTTTGCGGCTCTGTCTCCCTGTATCTGCTGTGTACATCAGCAGGGTGTTGGTGAGGCAATATGTCATTTAAACGGAAGTGAGAGAAAGCCGCAGGACAAGTTGTACCAGCATTCTGGTTGGGTGAGAGGTCTCCGGTCTTCTGGGGATAGGAAGGGCCACATGAATGCAAGGATTTTTAACATGGGGCCTAGAGAGTGTTCATTCAGTTGTGGGGGCCCGTAAACTTGCAGGAGGCGGGGGGAAATGCATCTTTATTTTTTTAAAATGTCTAACTGGAATGTAGCACTCCATTCAATTATGCATGTGGGCAACACAGCAATACTTGTGGCTTTATCACCAAGAGAAATCACAGATATATATACTTGGGTGTTGTTGGTTTTTGTTTTTTTTTATCACATTAGAGTTGCAGATATCTCAAAATATCGGTTACCTCTATCTCAAAATGACTGGTAGGCCTTCCTATGTACTTCCTGTTCCTGCAAGATATTACTACTTAGCCCTGGCTCCGTGGTCAGAATGTAGGCCCATGAATGGAAGGGCCATGGATTCCATTCCAGGTCAAGGGCATGTGCCTTGGTTGCAGGGCATGTGCAGGAGGCAACCAATCGATGTGTCTCTCTCACATCAATGTTTCTCTCTCTCTTCCCCTCATCCCTCCCTTACACTCTCTCTAAAAATCAATGGAAAAAAATACCGTTGGGTGAGGATTTTTTTAAAAAATATGTATTATGCCCTGACCAGTTTGGCTCAGTGGCTAGAGCGTCGACCTGTGGACTGAAGAGTCCCAGGTTCGATTCCCGTCAAGGGCATGTACCTTGATTGCGGGCACATCCCCAGTAGGGGGTGTGCAGGAGGCAGCTGATGGATGTTTCTCTCTCATGGATGTTTCTAACTCTCTATCCCTCTCCCTTCCTCTCTGTAAAAAAAAATATCAATAAAATATATTTTTAAAAAATGTATTACAATTTAGTTCATTAATAGAACATCACACATATGTCCACATCCCAATGTTTAATATTTAGGCAACTGTATATATTGAAATTAGATTTATTTAGTTGGTTAAATTAGATTCGATTAAACTTTTAAAGTATTGGTGATCATACTTTAATACGATTGATTTCCTTTGTAATCCTTATATTTTGTGCATTTGAAGCATCGTTCTTTGAAGGGGGTGGTATCCCGGGAAGACGGTACTTCAGGACCACGGACAGCGCTCTCTGGGCATGACCTGCCCACCTCTTAGCACTTCCTGCCACTACCGACCTTCCTTCCAGGCTTTTCCTGAGATCAAGGTGGCGCCCCACTCCGTGTTGCCTTTAGCCCAGTCAGCCTCTCCCCAGCTTCTTACCTGTCCCGCCAACATCTCATACAGTAGAACCCCAAAGGACCACCAGTCGACAGACTTCCCATAGGGCTGGTAGGCAATGATCTATGGGGGACAGCGGCAGAGAGAACGGAAGGCAAGAACCCATGATTTGTGCTTTAAGAAACATAGGACCCTTCTGGCTTCATCCCCTGGACACCCCACCCACTTGAAGGGTATTCAGTACACATTCTCCCCACCCAGAATAGCTTGGCCAGAGCTCCGTTCTTTGGGAAATCTGGAAGACAAACTTGACCTTCTTAGGATGTCCCTTTGGTCCCAAATACAAAGACTATCTAAGGGCCAAGTCACAAGTTCCACCCACCTAGAATATTGAAGTAACTGGACCCTCTCCTTACAGTACCAGGTGCACAAGGCCTCTAATTCAAAGACCAGAGATTCTTAAATGCATTTCAGAGTCAACTAGGGGACTGTTTAAATATAGGAATTCTGCCCTGACCGGTTTGGCTCAGTGGATAGAGCATCGGCCTGTGGACTGAAGGGTCCCAGGTTCGATTCCGGTCAAGGGCATATACTTTGGTTGCGGGCACATCCCCAGTGGGGGGTGTGCAGGAGGCAGCTGATCGATGTTTCTAGCTCTCTATCCCTCTCCCTTCCTCTCTGTAAAAAATCAATAAAATATATGTTTAAAAAAAATAGAAATTCCAACTGGCTGGCCTGGCTCAGTGGTTGAGCGTCGACCTATAAACCAGGAGGCCATGGTTCAACTCCCGGTCAGGGCACATGCCTGAGTTTTGGGTTTGATCCCCAGTGTGGGGTGTGCAGGAGGCAGCTGATCAACGATTCTCTCTCATCATTGATGTTTCTATCCCTCCCTCTTCCTTCCTCTCTGAAATCAATACAAATATATTTTAAAAATAATAATAATAGAAATGCCCAGCCCCAAAGAATTCCAACCTCCATAGGTGAGAGTCGGAGGCAGGAATATGTGTGTGTATTTTTTTCAAAACCTCCCCCAGGCGATTCCGATTACCAGCCAGGTTTTGAAACCATTGATCTTGGTTACTCAGACACGAGCACTGAGTCACCTGGAAAGATCAAAGATGGCACCGCCCACACTACCTCCTCCTCCCACAGAAAAGTGAAGACACACTATCTATAGGTGCAGTCAGATCCTTAGCTCCACCCCGTTATAGAGCCAGCGTACACCCTGCCCACCTGAAATATTCAGGAGGCAGCCCCCACGGCTTAGTGTTCTAGGGGGGATGGGCCCCGACCACTCAAACAAACTGGAAATCTTCTCCACCTTCTTAGAATAGTCCAGTCACAGGCCGTGTTCTCCTGGGGTTCCTACCAGCTGGTCCCACTCTTTAAGAACATTCACCCGCAGGTCCCGCCCACTTTACCTATTTAGAGACCCAGCTCCACCCACTTGGAATGTCAGGCCTCTCCGAGCTGCTCTCCATTAATGAACACCCACCACTCATGTAAAGACCCCCAGCGTCAGCCCTGGCTGGTGTGGCTCAGTGGATAGAACCTCGGCCTGGGGACTGAAGGGTCCTGGGTTCAATTCCGGTCAAGGGCACATGCCCAGGTTGCTGGCTCGATCCCCAGTAGGGGTCGTGCAGGAGGCAGCTGATCAATGATTCTCTCTTATCATTGATGTTTCTCTCTCCCTCTCCCTTTCTCTCTGAAATCAATTTAAAATATATATATTTTAGCCCTAACTGGTTTGGCTCAGTGGATAGAGCGTCGGCCTGCGGACTGAAAGGTTCCAGGTTCGATTCCGGTCAAGGGCATGTACCTTGGTTGTGGGCACATCCCCAATGGGGGGTGTGCAGGAGGCAGCTGATTGATGTTTCTCTCTCATCGATGTTTCTAACTCTCTATCCCTCTCCCTT